TTAAAAACGTTTTTAAACATTTGACACGTGAGAAAACACATATAGTCTTTACACAATCACTCACAATCATGACAAAATCAGTCACAATCAGTCACAATCGCTCACAATCAGTCACAATCCCTATACAATCATTCTCAATCGTACACAATCACTCACAATCGTACACAATCACTCACAATCTTAGCAAGTTTCCTCAAAGATTGTGGAATTTGGCAGTCGGTGTACACATTTTGGGTCAGCTATTCACCCCTCGGTCTAATCATGTTAATAGTTTGGTTGTTAAAACGAGAAGACTAATTTTCAAGTTTTATGAGCTTCGTAAATTTATACTTATATCTATCTATAAAGCTTTGGTTGAGTCTATTCTACAGTATGCTATAATTGTGTGGGGTGGTCTGTACATAAGCTCCCTCGAACCTCTGAATGTTGTACAGAATTATATTTTGAAAGTCATATTTCAAAAAGAAAAACGATTTCCTACCAAACAGCTTTACGACGAAAAAATACTTAACATTAGAATGTTATATTTTTATAACATTTGTCTTTTTCTGTACAAAAACAAGGACTTACAAACAAAAGTTGACCATACATACCAAACTAGACAAATATCCAATCAAAACTAAATTGTTCCTTTTTACAGAAAAGATGAGATTTATTGCGAGCTTAGCTCCTAAATTGTACAATTCTTTACCAATTAACATCAGGAATATCTCTAAATATGGTGCATTTGCCAAAAAATGCAAGCCAATCATCTACAGTAACTATAAAGCATTTCTTAGACTTCTTTAATTCTCAGTGTTGAGTGCTTAAGAATTATTTGCTTGTTTTGTTTTTTATTGTAAAATTTCTAACTCCCTTCATATTTTTTTCATTTAAGTACATGTAGGTTGTAAAATAATTTACTCCACGTACCTACATTATATTATAAAAAGCTAATTTAACCCCTTAGATTTTTGCACATACAGATTGCTTGTAATCTAGGTGCAATAACTTATTTGAGTAGCTCAAATTGTAATGTGATATTTATTTAACTTATTGTAAACCTATTGTTATTTCTCTGAATAAATTTATTTATTTATCTACAAATCACACAGACACATGCCCCCTAGAAGGAAAGCAGAGGGCACAATCGGGCAATTATCAGTAACAAACGACGAGAGAAACTCAACAGTGTTACTTTTTGTAAGAGAGACAATGCAGACAAAACCCATACCAAAAAACATGTATAAATGTTTGAGAGCACAGAGAGAAAGCATAAAAGAGCAATCCTTCAAAAAACTGGAATAATCAAGCTGTCAGTTCTTAAGTCATTCTTAAGTATATTACGCACTTTTTTTTTTTTTGTTCAAAAGTTAGATTAAGTTTTTCAAATTCCTAAACAAGTGTATGCCATATTACTCAATTAATTGGATAAAATGATTCTATTATATTTATTGTCATTATTATGCTGTAATGGGATGATCCCCTGAATTTAATAAATAAATAAATAAAAATAAAAATGGCATGGCACATTTGCATTAACGCAAGAATGTGCAAAAAGTTGCACATTTTTTTCAGTATTCATGCTTTTTCCCAAAGAAAAACATATAAGGAATGTTATGTATTTGTTTTGGTTTTGTACCAACATTTTTAGAAAATATATTTCTGAGTTTTCAATAAGTATGTAGTTTTATACCAACTTCTCCTATATTTTGTCGAAAGCTTTAAAAATTGTTAGAATCTTATATCTTTGTGTTGCATAGTTGCTGAGCTAACAGATGAGATGTGTAGGTTTATTAAAACTAGCTGAGAAATTTTTTTCAAAAACTTTCAGGTTAACCATAATAGTTTTTGCAAATTAATGATCGTTTTACAGAAAATTAAAATTCAAAAACGCACCTTGCATATCAGAAAAAAGAATTCAAAAATTGTCTAATATGAAAAATGTGTCTTAAACTATTTTTCTTATCATATGAGGACTTTAGTGAATAATCAATTAAATGTGGATCAAATTTTGACCAAAGAGAATGACACAACTAGTAGTAGTAAACGATCCCATAACTATTTGAAAAGAGAGTATTTTTGAATGTTAAATGCAATTTGGCAAATACGAGAAATAATATAAAATATTCACTATTATTATTGGCACATTTTTAGAAAACCTATATGGTAAAAAAACACAAAAAAAGCACGACTTATCCAATTTTGTCCATCATATTAATTAGGTTATAATCAAGAAACTTACTTCACTAACTCTCTGCAGTCACCTCTTTTCCTAAAAGCAATAATGATTTTTCTATCTCATCACTTTGTTTAACCAATTTTAAATTGGTTTCGATACTGGCTAGCATGAGATAAAAAATAGAGAGCCTAACAAATATCTTTTAGTTTGTAGATGAAAAAGGAAAGATTGGTTGAAAATTGAAGTGATTATATCAAAACATATTCATTATTTTGGGAGGAGTTTAAATGTTAATTCAATTCAATGTACTTTAAATTTATCTGCCAGCTGATAAATATTTCAAGCATTCAGTATTGATCAATTAGGTGAAATTTTAAAATGTGTTATTTCACAGTCCAATACTTGTTCTACAAAACAATAACATCAAAATAGTTGTTAGGCTTTCTTTTAGTTAAAACAATGAACACTCGTGAAAAAAACGTGAATGGGAAATTACATTTACAAAGTTTAAAAACCAAAATTCATATTTAACTTTTGTTAAACATAAAACACTACTTATACCAGAACCGCCTATTCGGAAATAATACATATGTAACTACTTATATAAGTTCAAATTTGTCATACTTAATATGGGTAATTTTGAAGTGAAAAAGAAACTTTCAGGTAAAAAGAAAAAAGAATAAATAGTACGAAATTTCATTTGAAATACTGGATCCTGTATCAACATCAACTGCTTTAATGGTCCTGATCATATTATGTTCTGCCAATCAATAACTTTTTCCATTACAAGGTCAAGGTAGTGTTATACTGGTATACCCTTCTTTATAGCACTGTTGATGAAGAAATAAAAAATACAAAATGATTGTAGAAATGTATTCTTTCTTGATGAAAAGACTTTTGCTTCTCAATATTCAAGATTTTGTCAAACTGTGTACAGAATCCAATATCTCCAGTAAGGATTTGAGTATCCAGTTGTTATTTTTTTGATTTTTCAATTGAAACATTAGCTACCACCTTCAAACTTATACTAGAATCTAGTGATTTTATTTTGATGATGGATTTGTGAACTAGAAAAAAAAACTCCATGAATTAGTAAGATTAGTTATTTCTGAAAAACAAAATAAAAATTTTGTTTTTCAGGAAAGGAAGATTTACAAAACGAGGTTCTGGTTGATGATTTATACTTTTATTAAATGTTTCCATTAATTTTCACTTCAACAGTTGCATTATTTTTGATACAGTCCTCTGTGAGAAGATTGTCCTACAAGGACATATCCAGGTCATTCCTACCAATTTAATTTAAATAAGTGTAACAAGTTTCATTGATTTAAATTACAGTGAGCCTTGTATAGTAAATTATGACCCACTCAGTTGTCAGAGGTGATTGAGCCCCAACTACTTTAGTTTTTTTTTTTGTCTCCGAGGACAATTATCTATTTTATGAACAAACAATACTAGAGATAAGGAATGACAAAAATATAGACGAGAGGTTATCGGTTTGAATAACAAAAGTATGCAATAATATTAATGCAGGGAAAAACGGATATTTTAATGTGATTTAGGTATACCACAAAAAAATAGATGAATAAACGAATATATCAACAAACGAAAAATATGAATTTTGGTTTAACCAAGCGGAATTCGGAAAACAAGCAGTTACCTAAGGTCAAATTCATTATTATCGTCGCTAGAATAAAAATTAACTTTGATTAAAAGTCGCACATTCTGACAATGTTTGTTTTGATGTGAAGCTAACGCATACTCGGGTACTTATAGATAATGTTATGCATCGTAGAAATATATTTTGCCAATGTAAAATTAGTAATCATTTGTTGCTTGTAACAGGTTCATGCCATGGATGAAATAAATATACATATAATTTGAATGAACTGAAAAAAAGAAAAACTAACAAGATTCAAGTTTATGTTTTTTTTTTATTGGTTGTACTTTTTTTTTTATAATCCGATAATTTTATATTACTTGCATGTCACTTAAATGTTGCGTGTTCAATGAAATTAATTTTCTGACAATAAAGTATATTTTGATTGTTTGATTGATTATCTCTAAAAATAAATTTCCAACTTAGCTGTGAAACAGCCGAGGGGTGGTTAACTGGTCAAAATCCCAGAAAATCGCATAGGATCTACTCAAAATCCCTAAAAATCTTTGAAATCCTTAAAAATTTAACAAAATCCCACAATCTCTTGAACGAGGGGCGGTTCACTCCTTGAAATTTGTACACCGATTCAAAATCACCTCGAGATTTTTACTGATTTTGAGATTTATCAACTGATTAACCCAGATTTATTCTTTTGAATTGATTTATGGAGATTTACAAATATATGTAGCTGATTTAGTAAAATTTAAACTGATTTAATAGGATTTAAGCTGATTTATAATGATTTTAGGTGATGAAAAAAGATTTGTAGTGATTCACAGTGATTTATCATGATTATGCGTTGGATTTATGGAGATTTAAACTGAATTATACGTATGATCTACAATTTCTCATAGTTTGCTTGTCAATATATGTATCTCATGTTTTACCATTGAGCAGATAACTTATTATTCTGCTTTATAGTAAGACAATAATTATCATAAACTGCCCTGCATCATTTTTATTTCCAATTTATTAAAAAAATGAGGTGACCTAGGAATTAAATTTTGGAAAATTATTAGAAAAATGTAAATTTCAAGAAATATTTTCCTTAAATGAATAACTGTCAACAAAGAGGACTTGTTTCTATAAAACATAATAATAAATGTAATCATATTATGTAAGATATGAGAAAAAAATATTGGTCTGGAAGGGAAAACTTTATGTTTATTTAACAGTTTATTAGACACAGAGTTTCATATCTTTATAATTTTTTTCTATTTTGTTTTTGTCCATTCTTTTTAGTGTGAAGGGATCATTGCCACACAAATCAATTGGACCATAAAATACAAATTTTTTCTCTACAACTTGAACGTCTTTGACTTTTGGCCAAACAAACCTTTCCAAATCTTGTTTTAAAAATTTTATAAGTATAGTTTCTTCGGTTTCATCCTTATTATCATTTTGATTCTTGTCTTGACCTATAACTCGCCCCAAAAACCATCCTATGTCATAAAATACAGCATAGTATTTTTCAACTTCTATTTGCACTTTATTTTCTTTCTTAGTTTCTTCTTCATCACTTCTTTCGTCTTCGTTAAAATATTCTGAATCATCTGAGCTATGGTCATGCAATGAAATATCTGAAGTTTCTTCAGAAGAGCTTTCTTTATTTCTCCTTAGTTTCTTTCTTTTTCCGAGACTTCTTTTATTTGCGATTCTTTTGCCTGGATTTTTCTCTTTTTTTCATTTTTTTGTGATTGTGGGGTCCCTCTCACTCGTAATAAGCGGTCGCTACTCAGTTTTGAGGATGAATTTTGAAAAAGCCAACATAACGAAGATTTTTTGACTGTCATTATCTTTCCAGAATTTAGAGTGACCTTCAAGAACGCTGATTTCGAGGCTGATGTTTCTGTTGACGTTTGGGTTTTCTCTTCGTTTGGGTGAGTAAAGTCTTTTAAATTCAGTGTTCTTTGTGAGGAAAAGATATCCTTCATAAGATTAACATCTTCCACATCTTCGAGATCCGAATCGTTAATGATATTGTCCTCGTGTTTCTGATCTTCGACTTCTACAAATAAAATTAAAAGTGTATATTTCAAAAATCAAATTAGACTAAAAGTCACGCTAAAAGTTATATTGCGATGATATTTACCATTTTCCCGAGCATTTTCCTCATCACTTCCAGGCTCTTCATCAAGATTGAGGTCTTTATTAAGTTTTAAAATGGGCCGATAATATGTTTCACTGTCTACTTGAATTTCCATATCCAAAAATGTAGTTTTAACGTAATCGACAGCTTCATGAATAATGCTTCCAATTTCTGTTTCTGTGGGTAAAGATTCCTCTGCTGGCTTGGTATTATAACCAAGTTTCTTGTTCTCTCTTGCAAATTTATAGCCTTCTAAAATAAGAATTATGTTATTATTAAGTTACTGCTGCCAAATTAAAGCACTTTACCTGTATCTTGAGAAATTTTACTAATCAACTCGGTTCTCGTAAGTCGGTGTAGAACTTCGAATAAAGAAAAGTTCACCACGGTGGAAAATGTGCTGGTTAGTGATCTCAATTCCCGAATTTTTTTTTCACACGGCTGGCTACTAAGTAACCATGGATAGAATTTGTTAATTGGACTGTCTCGACATCTCCTCACATATTCCACCAGTGCATGTGCGTTCAATTCAATGCAGGTATAGCAATTGAGGGTAATAAAATTCTTGGTTAAAGAAGCATCATTATCATTTGACACGATATATCGCCAGATACGGAAAAATAAAGTAGATATCCACATTTTATATATTCTTTCGATTGGAGTCAATTCCTTGCTTAAAAATGCGTCCAGTAGAAACCGGGATATTCTTAGAAATGCTATTGTTCCTTTTGAATCGGGAATATTATTCTTCAATGCCTCAACTACTTTTTCCTGAGTCATTTTGTCAAAGCTATCAAAGTTCATTTTATCTGTTGGATTCAGAGTTGAGTATGTAAGGCTATGCTTATCTTTGGAAACTGTATCAATCAGATTTTTGAGATGTTCACTCGAAACCTTATATTTCCCTATGCGTAGTTCTACGGAAGGCTTTAAAAACACTGTTTTTAACTTGGTTCCAATATGTACGGTGTCTTGGATATATAAAGGCCGTTGGGCATCATAATTTGCAAAAAACCAATCTGAGTCAGAAAAAGTAGGAAGTCCGCTCCTGCTTTTCATAACTTTTAACATTCTACAGTCTCCATCAGTTGAAAATCCTTCAATTGTGATGCCTTGTTCCTGAGCCAGTTCTTCAATTTTATTCCATCTCCTTTCCGCATCTTCTGATGAAAACTTGTTGTTAGTTCCATAGACACATAAGCAGAATCCAGAGGCCTTATCAACCAGAGGTTGACAAATAATGATGTTTATATAGTTAGATTTTGCTTCATTTTCAAAGTATTGTTCTAATTGTTTAAGCGTATCAAAAGGAAAATTATTCAGTACTGGAAATCCACTTTCATCTAATGGAGGAGTAAATCCAACAAGCTGATTGTTTTTTGGTGAATACTGTATTTTACTATTGATAGCTGTTTGATCCTCACTTAACCATATATTCAATGGGTACTTATGATCTGTAAGGTATGCTTTCAATGCTGAGAATCGGAATAAACCTTCTTCAATTGTTTGGTTATCAACTACCCTTTTTCGGATTGTTGAGGGGCTTGGCATAATATTTCTTAGATTTAGGTGAAGAGTTTCATACATCAATTTTCCGCCGGTTAAATATAACCATGTTAAAAGTCTTTAAAGTTAGTCTCATATTTTCTTCCTCTGTACTCACAATGCTTGGTTTTGTTCTCAACAAGGGCCTTGAAAAAAGTCGATATATTTGAATCATCAAAAACGTCTATGTTTAAAAAACTCAGTGTTTTTCTGAAATCATTATTTTCAGAAACAAAATTGGAAAACTCTTTTTGAACTTTCTCAACCAACGGGAAAAAATCTGTTATGTTGTAGTTGTCAGCAGACGCGGTTTTCAGTTTCCTTAGATTTCGCTGCTGCCGGCTATAAACTGGGTCCCGCCATTTATTAGATTTTAAGGAGAACGGAAGTACTTTGGAGTTATTTGGCATAAGGCAGGTGTTACTAATAATATCAGTGTTCTCCGTAGTAGTAACCCTGCCTGACTGAAAATTTGAAGTTGTCTCCTCATCTGCAGATGTAAAATCCAAATAACTGGTTGGATCTGTAGAAATGCCACAGGTATATGGGTCAATATCAGAGGGAGTGCTTGGATCAGGAGGAAACTCACAAAGATTACTTTCTATTTGAAAAACACTATCTTGCAATGGTTGGGGCTCAAGTTGAGACAACGATTGTGGCGGAAAACTGGAAGAATTATACGGGCTATTTGTATTTTCGGCTCTATTTTCAACAGCTGGTCGAACCACAATATTTTGTAATACTTCAATTTGGGAATTTGTTTCAACGTGTTGGTCCACACATGGGTTTGAATTTTCATTCATTGGTTTTCTATTCTCATTTAGTGTCAGTTTTTTCCTAGGTTTTTTCGTTAAATCATTGTCTTGGCTTTTATTGGAGAAATTGCCATTTTCGCGCAAATACGATAATATTGAACATTGGGCGCTTTGCTTCTTCTTTTTTTTTTGTAATTTCTGCTAGGTGTGACTTAAAATGTCTGTGATAGTTTGACAGAAGCCAACAACCAGAAGTTGTTTTGAATATTTTGGTTTTAAAAGAACAAATAAAGCATTTTATTATAGAAGTGTTTGACCCTGCAGTAATTTTGTTTACATTATTAACCAATGTGTTTATTGTTGTATCTGTGTACTCATCCTCTTTTATATTTCTGAGTAAAAATTCCCGAATCCATCGAATGGCCTTATCTAAGAGTTCTTCTTGAATGTGCTTCTCCAATCTCTCGTTGTTTGTATTACCTCCAGGCTCGCCTCCAGGTTCGTTTTCATCAAACTCATGGAAACTACTCCTATTCTCTATGGAATTATTACGAGGTTCAAGATTACACGAAATAGCTTTCGAAATAGCAGACTTTTCGATTTTTTTTTGGACTATAGGCTGCCTTTTAATTATTGTCGTTTATGTCCCTTTATCTGAATATGTTTTTTCCGAGGTCTTTCTCAATATTGACGATTTGGTATTTTGTTCTTCACAGAACTCTTTAATTCTACCCAATATTTTTTTTTGTCCTGGTAGTATACAAAATTTGCTAGCATCAACTTTGAAAAACCCTAGGTAATGCTCGGTATTTTGTGGAAACAAGAAATTGATTTGCGTCCTGGCGATTTCCTCTATTTCACTTATATCAGTATTGTCCAAAGGTGCTAAAGAAAGAATATTGTCAAATCCGGTAAACCTCAAAAGATTTTCTAAATAAGGCGGTAGTGACACATTAAATGTTTTTCTAAACTTGACAAACACATCATCATCTTGGTTTTCGCCTGCCGTTCGAACTTGCTCCTGAGCTTCCACGGTGGAGCCATTTCCAAGGTTATTTTCTTGATTATTTTGTAGCATTTTGCTTTATTGCCTAGAGCCAAAAAAGGGTTTTAGTATTCAATAATGAACAAGTTAACACTATTCTCATAAATAATTGATTTTTTTCTCCTTTCTATAAGACCAAAATCTGGATTTGAAGATATTGATAATTTCAAAAAATGCAAGGAAAAATAATAATAACATAAACTGCATCAAATGAAACATATTAACGGAAAAAAAACGATAGGTATTACGAACTCGGGTACGAATGAAGCAACTCCTCCTAAATTGAAGCCGAAACTAAAACCTGTATCGAAGTGTCGCATCTATGGCCATAGAAAAACAATAATTCTAGGAAATACTAAAGCTTATTCCATCAAGTAAAATTGCAAATTGATTAAACTATTTTTGAACTTCAAAAGTTTAAATTGTTTACCTAACTCGTTGTATAATAATTTATGAGTATATTTTAATAACTATGTATATCCATAAAATTATCAGTAAAGGCTCAGTCATTTCAGTCAAAGAGCGAGATTCAATAAATCGTAAAGCTACATCTACTAACTAAATAATTATGATTACTTACCTTTCCAAAATTTAATTTGATCACAAACTCGATCACAAAACATAAAATTACTTAGAAAAAACCAAGAGGAAAAACTACAAGTTACTTCACTGAAATATAATAATATTTAGCGATAATTCTCTGAGCCGACTTGTGCGCACTTGCAAAGAGATTCTTCGGAAATGGGTCGTCTCGAGCTGTTGCATTTTGTGGCAGAAATTTAACGATTTTTTAATGGATTTACATTGATTTACAGGTGATTTATCTTGATTTTTGGGGATTTCTCTTGATTTTTAGAGATTTATCCTGATTTAACTGGATTATTAGTGATTTCTTGTGATTTTTAAAGATTTTTACTGATTTATGCTGATTTTATCTGATTTAAGAAAAAATGAGCTGATTTATATAGATTTATTCAAGATTTCAATTGATTTATGCCAGGTTTGTACACCGATTTAACGGAGTTATCTCCCCCTCGCTCTTGAAGTTGCATAAAATTCCACAAAATCTAATAAAACTAGTGAAGAAAGAATTTTGAAACTTTTTGCATATAAAGAAAAAGGGGAGGAACTCATTTTCCAAAAAATTTAAATTTTTCCAGTGGAAAATAATAACATGAGGAATCTTGGGAATCAACCTACAATAACTGAATTAATTGAAAATACAGTCTCACACATTTCAAAGTTTTTCTGGAAAACCAGTAAGGGAAAATTTTGAAACTTTCTGCATGTAAAAAAAAAGATGAGAAGCTCATTTTCCCAAAATTTTAAATTTTTCCGGTGGAAAATAACAACATGACACATTTCAGAGTTTTCCTGGAAAACTAGTGAAGGGAAAATTTTGAAAAATTTTGCATGTAAAGAAAAAGGTGAGAAGCTCATTTTCCCAACATTTCAATTTTTTCCAGTGGAAAATAACAACATGAAAAATCTTGGAAATCAACTTACAAAAACTGAAATAATTCTTAATACAGTCTCACACAATTCAAAATTTTCCTAGAAAACTAATTAAGGGACAAGTTTGAAACTTTTTGCATGTGAAAAGGAATGTCAGAGACTAAATTTTCCCAAAATTCCAAATTTTTCTAGTGGAAAATAACAACATGAAGAATCTTGGAAATCAACCTATAAAAACTGAACTAATTGAAAATACAATCTCACACATTTCGAAGCTTTCCTGGGCTGGGATTCTGTGAAGAGAAAGTTTTGAAACTTTTTGCATGTAAAGAAAAAGGTGAGAAGCTCATTTTCTCAAAATTTCAAATTTAACCAGTGGAAAATAACAACATGAATAATCTTGGAAATCAACCTACAAAAACTGAATTAGTTGAAAATACAGTGTCACACATTTCAAAGTTTTCCTGGAATACTAGTGAAAGGAAAATTTTGAAACTTTCTGCATGTAAAGAGGAAGGTGAGAAGTTCATTTTCCCAAAATTTCTAATTTTTCAAGTAGACAATAACAACGTGAGGAATCTTGGAAATCAACCTACAATAACTGAAATAATTGAAAATACTGTCTCACACAATTCAAAGTTTTCCTGAAAAACTAATGAAGGGAAAATTTTTAAACTTTTTGCATGTAAAGAGGAAAATGGAAAAAAAAAAATTCAAATTATTCCAATGAAAAACAGCAACATGAAGAATCTTGGAAATCAACCTATAAAAACTGAACTAATTGAAAATACAATCTCACACATTTCGAAGCTTTCCTGGGCTGGGATTCTGTGAAGAGAAAGTTTTGAAACTTTTTGCATGTAAAGAAAAAGGTGAGAAGCTCATTTTCTCAAAATTTCAAATTTAACCAGTGGAAAATAACAACATGAATAATCTTGGAAATCAACCTACAAAAACTGAATTAGTTGAAAATACAGTGTCACACATTTCAAAGTTTTCCTGGAAAACAAGTGTGAAGTGAAGGGAAAATTTTGAAACTTTTTGCATGTAAAGAGGAAGAAGAAAAGCTTATTTTCTCAAAATTTCATATTTTTCCACTGGAAAATAACAATATGAAAAATCTTGGAAATAAACCTCCAATAACTGAATTAATTGAAAATACTGTCTCACACATTTCAAAGTTTTCCTGGAAAACTAGTGAAGGGAAAATTTTGAAACTTTTGGCATGTAAAGAGGAAGGTGAGAAGCTCATTTTCTCAAAATTTCAAATTTTTCAAGTAGACAATAACCGAGGGGTGGTTAACTGGTCAAAATCCGTGTACAGGGTATTTGATTATATTTGGCACCATACCTACAGCCTTTACTATTTAAGATAGAAAAAAATTTTAAATACAAAACTTGTCAGTTTTTTTCTATATTTTCTGATAACGTTATCAGAAAAAACAAAATCGCATCGGAAAATGGAGAAACGTAAGCAACTTCGACTTTTACAAGTTGGTCAAAATCCCAGAAAATCTCGTAAGAATTACCTAAGGTCCGTTTCACCAGGGTTCATACTTGACCTTGAAACTTGAAAAAAAAGGGTTGTCGTAGATTAATTCATATGACACATTCAATTTTTTTGACAAATTAAAATGAATGACTTCTGGTTAAGGAACCGACGAACGTTTTTGACGTCATTGATTTGTTTCAGTCAATTTTGATTTGTTAAACAAGGAAGGCAAATGCTGGTGGCAAGTACAAACCCTGGCGAAACAAACTTTACTTACTTAAAATCTCTAAAAATCTTTAAAATCCCTAAAAATTTAACAAAACCCCTCAAAATCGCATAAAATCCTATAAAATTTTACTAAAACCAAAAAAAAATCCCGCAAAATCTTATAAAATCATTAACATGCCTAGAAAATATTTCCTTTAAAATCCACAAAAATCCTTTGGAATACCCAAAAATCTGTTAAAATCTCTAAGTACACTTTAGAATCTCTAACAACCTTTCAAAAACCCCTAAAATGCTCCAAAATCATCTGAAATCTTAAAAATCTAAAATCTTCTAAACTCCTGTAAAATTGTGTGAAGATTTTCAAAATCCTCAAAATCCTACAAAATTCATAAAGATTCAAATCTGTGTAATTATTTTAAAGAGTTAACTAAATCTCGAAGCGGTTAATTGGTCAAAATCCGTTTACAAGTTGGTCAAAATCCCAGAAAAACTCGTAAGATCTACTTAAAATCCCTTAAAATCTTTAAAAATTCAACGAAGTCTCATAAAATCTCTTAAAATCACTTGAAACCGCATAAAATCCTACAAAATTCCTTAAAATCACTTGAAATCGCATAAAATCCTACAAAATCTCATGAAATTTTATTAGAACAAAAAAAATTCCGCAAAATCTTATAAAATCATTGAAATTCCTAAAAAATATTTCTTTTAAAATTTCCAAAAATCCTTTAGGGCTCCCAAAAATTTGTAAAAATCTCTGAAAACCCTTTAGGACCTCTAAAAATCCTTCAAAATCCTTTAAAATGCTCCAAAATCACCTAAGATCTTAAAAATTTAAAATCTTTCAAAATCCTGTAAAATCGTGTGAAAATTTTCAAAATCCTCAAAATCCTACAAAATCAGTAAATATCTAAAATCTGTGTACATATTGTAAGGAGTTAACCACCCCTCCGAAACAGGACCCGGATTCCGAATCCATGATTCGATAGTATCATCTATTTATTTTATATGGACGATACTATCGAATCATGGGTTCGGAATCTGGACCCAGCTAGTAAATCAAAACTTTTTTTATACTGAAATTTGATAATTTTCATAATTAGCAGAATTTTTTAGTTCCGTAGAAAAACATCCACAGAAAAATCTTGTTCAAAATTATTGAAACATTGAAAAATGCTTCAACGTTGAGATTTTGAATGAAATTGATCATTTTTGGACAGCTCAAACTCCATTTGTATTTTTTAATTACGCATAATAATACAAACAAACATTATTATACTGACACTGTAAAATTTTTTCAAAAAGTTATTGTTCTTTTCAGTCGCGTTTGGTGTTGCGCATCATTGGCGTGCGACCTTTGCCTCACTTAATTGTTTTTAAAAACAACTCAACATTTAATCAACTGCCTTGAGTACCCAGTACATTATCACATTAACAAACTGGTATTTAGAAGTGCCAACGTTCTTCGTCGTTTATAAATTCAATAGTTTAATTTAAGCAGTGTTTAAAAGCTTTTAATAAATTGAATGGCTCATTGTTGAACAATTCGAAAATAAACAATTTAATTCCATTAGATTATAACAATGACTGAAGTGCCTGATGTAGAGGATAATCAACCAAAAGTTATTTATAAAACTTTTTCATTTTGTGGTAAGTGACTTTAAATTTCTATTTATATTGTTATCAAACTAACTGTTATTCAATGGGTTTCAAAACAAGTTTATCAGGAAAGCAAATAGGAATAATTTTCTTGCTGATAAGAGTGATAAGGAGCTTGAATGCATTAATATATTAATAATTATCAAACAAATTAAATATTTAATTTTATTTAGTAAAAATTATTGAATATTTAATTTGATTTTTCATTAAACCTGGCAACAATAATAATTCTATTTGGCAAAATATATTTTCATTTAATTATTGTATATAAAATATATAGCTTACCGATCTTTTCGACTGTCGCTTCCCCCAGTAATCTCAGGGCAATCCCTGTAAAAATGTCCATTGTAGCCGCATTGATAGCAACGCATGTTATTCGAATAGTAACGACGTCCCTGGCCCCTGGTTCTGGGGCGAGCATAAGATACCCTTATGCGACAGCCACATACTTCCCTAAATAATTATAGTCTATAATATTATTTGATCTTTTTTTAAATTATTTATACTTACACCCCATCACAGGCTCTCAGAGCAACTGCAGCATCTTTTTTGTCTTTGAAAACTGCAAAACCGAAACAAGGTCTGCTGTTTGTTAGCCAGACTTCTTTGATTTCCCCATAGGGAAGAAAAACTTTTTCAAGATCGCTTTTTCTAACATCGTCTCCTGTGAAAACGATCAATTTGCTTGATTGAATGATAACATTGCATCACACTTACCGATATCGGCAATGTGAAGCCTGTAACCATCCAGGTCACTGCTACGGCTTCGGGATCTCGATCGGCTCAGAGAAGAGCTCATGCTTCTGGATCGACTTTTTTTACTGATACTGCTCATTGAACGGCTTCTGGATCTAGTCGGACTGCCCATAATTTATGCGGCTTATTAAAAAATTCAATTTCATTTATATGTTTGTATAGATTTTAATCAATAATTATGTATCCTTGGTGGTTAAGTGAATAATGAATTAAAATGAAATTCTCAAATACAAGATATTCCAGGGAAATAAATCGATACTTACCGCCAAGAATTACACGATACACTAATAAATTAGTTAGCTAGAGTGAACTTAATCTAATTTGCAAAGGAAACCTTTTAATTTTTATGGAATATTTAATTAAAATGCAAAATCAATCCAATATCCGACAACGACACGTTTCATTTGACGAATGACGTTTCGTTCGTATCGTAGTGCGTCGCCTTCGTGGTGTAGGGCTTTTCATTTCGTTCAGCAGCAACACGCAGTTGGAGTGGATTCGGCGGAGTGCTTAGTGTAGAGTAAAGAGAGCTTTTAAAGTATACCCGAACGACTCGTAACTATTGGAGTAAAAACTGAAATTTTATTGTATTTTAATACTTTGTTATTATTAATAATAATAAATAATCTAGCATTTGTAACAATTTCCATAGTATCTGAAAAAATGAAAAATTTTATATTAAGTTAAGATGATTTGTTGGTTCGGCTTGCTCACTCCTTGCACTTTAAAAAGTTTAAAAATACTCCGTTAGCGCTCCAACCGTACATGAATGACTTTTTAGAGTAATTAGAGTAACTACATTAACCGACGATCCGAACTACTAACTTGAGCTGGGTTCGGCTATTCAGCGCAGAGTTGGATTGGAGTGAACAGAGCTAATGGAGTCACCCCTAATACGGTAAATAACCTTAACCCGAACGGCTGGAGTGCGAATGGAGTCACTCGGAGTGCACGGAGTCAGCAAGCCGAACCCACCTTACATATAGAGAGTTCTCGTGCGTCAGACGTTACTCCAATACGGTACCGCTAACAATACGGTATTTCACATGGTATTTTATAGTTCTCGGGCACGAAGACACATAAATCCTCTAATCCGTTATTCTGTTTATATTTTGACAGCTTAGTTGAGTAATCTAACCCCACTTTTTTTTTTCTTGTTTTCTAACTTTTATTTATATTGAAGATTCCTGAGCTTGATTTATTTTCCCTTGGTTTTTTTTTATCGAGGAATTATTAGAAATTGCTGTTTTTGCAGACACAAATGGAGCGTAAACTAGTTTTGACACAGCATAGCGTTACGGTAAAGCATCCGGTAAGTTCCGTTAGACCGTTCCGTTAGATAGCGGGCTCCGCTAACGCTAATACCGTAAGAACTGTCATACTTGTCAAATAGCGTTACGGTATTTGAAATTTGGACGGCACGAGAATTCTCTATATTAAAGTTTGGCCGTTCTATGTTCATTGATGTTAACCCGGATCATAATGAAAACGCCTATAATATCCGAATTCGACCCGTGTGTCCGGCAAGGATAATACACACTACTACTACAGGATAGCTCATCCTCATGAGCGTACTGGAAAAGTATATTTTAAAAAAATGTCCGATTTTACGATTTTTTTTTACAGGAAGACCAACTCATACAAATACGATTTTAAAGTCACGTGATATTGGTGGCAAAAAAACGTATTTTTTTTATATGTTCATTGATTATGTCGTTGATATCACCTACAAAAAGCTACTGGTGGGTGGTTTATTACTATTGAATTTCAAGATATTGTTCCCACTAGCATTTTACAAACGCGTTTCTGAAGTAGTATTAGCGGTGCGACACCCTAGCTGTTCAAAAATGACGTTTTTCTATTTTGGTGTCATATCGAAGTCTTTTCGACACTAAAAGTAGTTTCGAAAAGAAGCTCTTTGTGACACTCCTTTTTTACTTATCGTAGGTTGGTAACACTGGCTGACTGATGGCCATCGAACTGTCATTCGCGATAAAAAAATAATAGAAGATTTCTATATTTGGCATGTAATGTTGCCAACCTAAACATATGAAATCAGGAAATATGAGAATAAAATTTCCAAGAAAAGTTTTTTTTTTAATTAAACAATACCAAAATAGAAAAAATAGTATAAAATATTCGTTTCATAAGACATTTAATCGCACTCGCCCTTTAGAAAACTCGCCTCCGGCTCGTTTTCTAATATAGGGCTCGTGCGATAAAATGACGTCTTATGAAACTTGTATTTTAATGTACTATTTCAATTAAAAGAGATGGACAATAAAGTATGAAAACAATCATTTTTCCCGCCAACATTTGCTTGCTTGTCAATGCCAGTGTGTATTGGGTGTTTTGAATGAAAATGTGGGAAAAGTCACTACTTCATTTGCAGAACTTCTCTGTGGAGAAAGCGGCGGATTATTCTGGAAGCAAACAGCTCCCGCAAACTAAACTTGAACGTGGATTACTTTGCATACTTGATAGGCCGTGGATTTCCCTTTTTTTTTGCGAGTATTCTTTCTGATTTTATGTATCCAAAATTTGACAAATGTATGATTTGATGGAAACTTATGGAGAGACACGTCCGCCGGTAAATAGGAATTATTTTTAAAAAAAGACACACTACACAATCACCATTGTTAGGAAAAAACTTTGAAAAAACCGAGGAAATAATAGTTTCCAGTTTCCACATGTACAAAAGTCTTGTCAACAAACCACTGTCAGCGGCTGTCAACCGTTGTTTTCATACTCTTTTGGCGTCTGACAGTTTGACACCAGAGAGAGAGGCTTTTAAATTGAAAAGGTCAAATTGACCTTTTTCACACCCATAAAATCGCACTCGCACCCTATGCGTTATTTTATTTCTGAACTCGGCCCAGATGACTTAGTTATGACGTCGGAAATGGTATCACACCAACAGTGATGATGTGCCTGTAGACAATGTCAACGTAAACAATTGATTGTCTACGCGTAGACAATTCGAATTGTTTACGTGAGCATTTGTCTACATTGTCTACATGCGGCGTAAACAATAACTTAGTTTAAAAAATTCGAAAAAAAAATATCAAAAGTTACTATACTATCACTATTACTTCGATATTAGCATTCACTGATTATAAAATATCAGAAAAACCAATAATAAAATAAAAATAATTCATAAAAAGGAAAGTGTGAGGTTAGAATTAAACGTCATTTATATTATTTGACATTGTTTACACGTTGTCTTCATTGTCTACATTATCTACACGTAATGTAGACAATGAAAGTCTACGTGTAGACGCACATCCCTGCACACCAATATGGCGGTGATTACCAAAAACGAGGCCGATAAGCATTCCTTAGGGCCGGTTTCTCAATAGCGAGTCACCTTCGGGTTAATTTTAACTCCAGGGTAAGCGTGTCCAGTTGCTATGTTTACCCCGGGGTTATGCTTAACCCGCGGGTGACTCGTTATTGAGAAACCGGCCCTTTAGTTCTTTTCACGTAGCTCCGGTTTAACTAACCGGGTTACAAAACGGTTAAAAAAATGACATAGCGTTTTCTAACCCGGTTACAAAGTGACGTGATGGATACCTACCACTCGAATTTGAGCGGTATGTTGCGGTTTGTTAAACCGGAGCCACGTGAAAAGGGTTTTAGAGTGTGTATTCTCCTTGAGCAGCATGTTCTTTCTCGCGTTGACGTAGGCTGAATAAACAGCTGACGACTTAGTTATGACGTCGGAAATGGTAACACACTAATATGGCGGCGAATACCGAAAATGAGGCCGATAAGCAATCCTGTAGGTGTGTATCATCCTTGCCTTGCCTCCAGCAAATCAAAGCACCAGTGATGACGTAGAAGCAGTCGTTTCTCGCCTTGACGTAGGTGTTTGCATCACAGGTTATGATTCCGCGGGCTTTTGCCTTATGCTTACTTGGTTTTACTACATTAATTAACATTAACATTCTAAAACAACCCTTTTTTGGATCTCGTTTGCAGCTTTCTCTTTGCCATGTTAATCGAAATTAAGTAATATTTTTCACCATGAATTTATATTCTAAGCTACGACCGCTGGCGCAAACAGCTGACGACTTTAATGACGCCGACAATGGTGTTACACCTAAGTCGCTTTCCAGCTGTATGCTTCAAGCACAGTGCAGCACAGTGTTCTGTGTTTGAAACGCAAAAGTTAGCAGCTCTCGAAGCGCAGTACGGCTGGAACACGAACACGTGCTTGAAGCATTTGCGCGCGC